TATTTATTTATTTAATTCATTATTTTGGTCTTTTTGAGACAGGGTCTCTCTGTAGCCCCAGATGACCTGGAACTCGCTATGTAGACCAGGCTGGCCTTGAACTCACAGAGATATGCCTATCTCTGCCTCCCAAGTGCTGGGATTAAAGGCATGTGCCACCACACCCGGCCATTTTATTTTTAAAACATGGGTTCTGAGGATCGAGCTCAGGTCCCAAGGCAGGCACTTAGCTGGCCTATCTCCCCAGCCTCGGCTCACCTTTTGAGTAAACAGAGATGCTTTCCTCCAAAACTCTGTAATATTGTAGAGTTAAGATCAATACAAAGCTTCTTGTGAGGGGTCGTTTCTTGCCTACTTAATTTTTTTTTTTTTTTGTCTTTTTGAGACAGGGTCTCCCTGTAGCCCCAGCTGTCCTGGAACTCACTATGTAGACCAGGGTGGCCTTGAACTCACAGAGATCCGCCTGCCTCTGCCTCCCAAGTGCTGGGATTAAAGGCATGTGCCACCAAGCCTGCTGCCTACTTAATTTTTTAAAACGATTTATTTTTACCTAGGTGTGGTGTCACACCCCTTTAATCCCACTACTCAGGAGGCAGAGGCAGGTAGATCTCTGTGAGATCAAGGCCGGCCTGGTCTACATAAGCGTTCCAGGCCAGCTGGGGCTATAAGGAGACCCTGTCTCAAAAAATAAAAACAAACAAAACAAAAATCTATTTTTATGTGTGTGTATGTGTGTGTGCACATGAGTGCAGGTGCCTGCAAAACCAGAAGAGGGCGTCAGATACCCTGGAGCTGGACTTACAGGTATTTGTGAACTGCCCAATATGGGTCCTGTAAATGCTGGGTTAACCTAGATCCTCTGGAAAAGCAGCAAGTGCTCTTAATAGCTGAGCCTCCTCCTGCCAACTTTTTATTTTATGTGTATGAGTGTTTTGCCTGTATGTGTATGTCTATCCAAGTGTGCAATATCCAAGGATGTCAGAAGAAGACATCAGATACCCTGGAAGTGTACTTTCGGACAGTTAGCCACCATGTGGATGCCCCAGAGGACAGAACGTGGTCCCATGTAAGAGCCAGTGCTCCTAACCGCTGAGCCCTCTCTGCAGCCCCCCTACTTTTAATTCTTATGATGAACTGATAATGTGAAGAGCTGCCAGCCTTAGCAGCTATGAGCAGCACTGACCATTGGAGAGAAGGCAAGCGGGAGTAGAGAGCTGAGGTTGAAGAAAGAAACTGTTGTTGAGAGCCACAGAACTGCAGGCCTTGGTTGTGACACTCTGGACGCAAGATGTTTTTTTTTTTTTTTTTTTTTTTTTTTGGTCTTTTTGATACAGGTCTCCCTGCAGCTCCAGCTGGCCTGGAACTCACAGAAAGCCGCCTGCCTCTGCTCCCCAGTGTTGAGATTAAAGGCCTGGGCCACCCCGCCTGGCTGAGACCCAAGATTTTTAGCACTAGCTGCCTTAGCTGAGCTGAGGGTCTCAGCACAGGAAATCCCATTTAGCAAATGTGGTACTAGCTGGGGTTGCTGGCAGCAGAGCATTGCAGTAGCTCCCGGGGCCCAAAGATGTTTGTTAAAACCCAGAGCAATAAGCCTCCAACCTAAGTACCAAAAGCTGTAATTTTGCGCTTTTAAACCAGAAGCAATAGGCCGCTGACCCTGGGTCTGCTGTGAGCCTGGGTCTGCAACTATTCCAACTTTTACCAACATCGCATTAGCACCTCATTCCATGATGCATCAAAGTTCTCCCAGGTAGTTGTATAGGAGGAGGGGCTTCTGCAAGGGACAAGGAGGGCGATTAGGGTGATTAATGCAGTTACCCCATTTAGGGTGTGTGTGTGTTTGGTTTTTTGACACAGGGTCTCTGTAGTCTCAGCTGGCCTGCAACTCGCTGTGTAGACCAGGCTGGTCGCCATCTCACAGAGACAGCCACCTGCCTCTGCCTCCCCAGGATTAAAGGCGTGTCACCCGGCCTCCCATCGAGGTTCCTTTTTTTTTTTAAATGAAGATCTTTTTTTATATTATTTTATGTATATGAGTGTATTGCCTGCATGTATGTGAGTGCACCCGTGTCGTGCAATGCTGCGGAGGTCAGAAGAGGGCTTCGGATTCCCCTGGAACTGGAGTTAAGGACCGTTGGTAGCCACCGTGTGGGTGCTGGGAATTGGACCTGGGTCTCTGCAAGCAGTCAGTGCTCTTAACCGCTGGGCCATCTCTCCAGCCCCCCATCGAGGTTTCTCACTCTCATTTTTATCCGAATATCGACTAGGAGCGTAGTCTGCTTTCTATTTATTATTAACATAACTGATCCTAAATGTTACTGTGAAACCCAACGGCGACTTGTTTCTCCTCTGGCCTTGAGAGTGGCACACAGAAGGCCCAGCTTTGGGACAGACTAGCTCTGCAACAGACACACGGTTAAGGCCCGCCCACAACGAGGCCACGCCCCATAGTTAGGCCCCGCCTTCGAGGCGCCCTGCCCGCTGCCTGCCTAGGCTCGCACCACTGAACGTCCTGGCGACGCTGACAGCTCCGAGTGACTGGCTTATTGCGGGCAGCCCCATGCTCCCTATGCAAGAGATGTTCGTGTCCCAGGTTCTGAGGCCTAGAGGCGAACAGACGGCCTAGAGGCCATCACGGACCCCCAAGCGTGCCCCCCCACTCTTTCTCGCCACCGCCACCTCACCCCGACTAGCGCCCCGGTTTGTCACGTGGCACAGCCTTAGGGCGGGGCCTGCCAAGATAGTTGCGGGGGGGCGGGGTTAGCCTGCGACACTGAGGGGCGGGGCCTTGGAAATCAAGGGCCAGGGCCTGAGGACGGCTGGAACCAAAGGCGCTAAGGGGCGGTGCCTTTGGCAGTGTGGAACGGAACTTGTCGGGGCAGGACCTGAAAGGAATGGGGAGGGGCCTGAGAGAGAGTGATACCCGTGGCTGCGTACTATGGGGCCTGAGAGGGGGGGGGTGTGTCAGAATAGGCGGGGCCTTAGGCGATGTGGGGCGGGGCCTGAGCCTGGTTGCGGGGGTTTGAGGAAGTGTGGGCGGGGCCTGAGGTGCGTCAACCAGACAGCGGCGGGACGGAGCCTGAGAAGGGGCGGGGCTTATGGCGGTGCGAGGCAGACCCTGATTTGGGGCGGGGCCTACGGCTGCATAGAGCCGACTTGAGAATGAGCGGGGCCTATGGTTGTATGAGGCCGAGGCTGCTTGGGGCGGGGCTTGGGGTTGGCATGGGGCGGGGCTCGCGGCTGCGTAGACCGGACTCTGACGCGGGGCGGGGCTTGGAAAGAGGCGGGACTTATGGCGGTGGGAGGCAGTGCCTGCTTTGGGGCCAGGCCTGCAGCTGCCTAGAGAAGACTCTCCGGTGGATGGGACCTGAGAAGAGGCGGGGCCTATGGTGGTGCGAGGCCAAGGCGCTGTGGGGCGGGGCCTGCGGCTGCGTAGAGCGTAGTCTGCGGCGGGGCGGGGCCTGGGTCGGCGTGGAGAAGCGGAATCCTCCGAGGCCTGAAGCTGACCCTGGGAAGTGCAGAGGTGAGGCCCACCCCTCAGATCCGGGTTCACGATCCTGGGAGGATGGGGGCATCTGGAGCTCGGGCGGGCGGCGGACCTCGGTGCACTTTCTGGACCCTGGTTCCCGCGGCGGACGGACACCAGGAATGGGATTCGAACTCGAGACTAGCTCGTAGTCGCGGAGTGGCCTTCTCTTACCTGGCTGTGGGAGGGAAGGACAGACGAAGTTGGGGTTTGTAACAGAGCCACGCTGGGCCGACAGACACCTGAGTACCTTCTTTACCACGTGGACTCCCATATCTACATTCCTGCCCTGGGGTGGGGGGCAGACATACCTTCCACCCCCAACACGACCACATGCCGCGGTGTTGTCACTTGTAGCCTCTGCTGACCATGGGGTTGTAACATGCTCCTTCTCTGCCCTCCAGGACGGGCAGTAGGATCGTGTCCTGCGGTTTCCTCTTGCCCCTGTGGGAACAGACCCCGGGACCAGGTTCCCTGATAGACAGTCCCCTGTACCCCTGGCTGATTCCCGACCCACCTAGGTCAGTCAGTATCAGCTGTGCCCTCCACCACACTCCAGCAAAGCCCCAAGTCAACAGAGTTTGGACACCAAAGGCCTTGTGGCTCTGGCCAGCCTCTCCTGCCTCGTAAGTGGCTGTCAGGACCCACGTGCCTGGACTGAGCTTTGCATACGTGCGGGCTCTTAAAGCTCTTGTCCCTGGTGAAAAAGCTCTGGGTCCTTCCCTGGTCCTAGCAGGCTTGGAAGGCTGTGTGTGACATGGACATGAAATTGTGCTGTTTCCTCTGTAGGAGCCTCTGTCCTGATCATGGACCCAGAATGCTCCAGGCTCCTCCCGGCGTTGTGTGCCGTTCTGGCAGACCCCAGGCAGCCAGTGGCAGATGACACCTGCTTGGAGAAACTGCTGGACTGGTTTAAAACAGTGACAGAGACAGGTAGGGACATAGGCTTGTAGGACTTGGGACAAGCTGCTTTGGACTTGTGTCTATAGGCTTTCCTTCACATCCTAGAGGCATGCACCACCACACCTGGCTCTCTAATTTCATTATTATAAATCATGAATTAGTGGCTTTAGCATGAGTACTTTTGCAACTTGTCTTCTGGAAAGTTCCATGTTACTTATCATTAATGCTTATGTTTCTTCCTTAGTTTTACCCTATTATTGTCCTTTTTGAAATATTTGTCATTTTATGTGGATGTTATGCCTGCACGTATATAAGTGTACCTGTATCGTGCAGTGCCCACAGATATCAGATGAGGGTGTCATATCCACTGGAACTGGAGTTAGGATGGTTGTTAGCTGCCGTGTGGGTGCTGGGAACCAAACCTGGGGTCTTTTGCAAGAGCAGCCGGTGTTCTTAATGGCTGAGCCATCTCTCCAGCCCCTGTGCATTTATTTGTTTATTTGTTTGTTTGTTTATTTATTTAAATTTATTGAGATATGTGTTCATGTAGCCCAGGGTGGCCTCAAATTCATTTTGTAGCTGAAGATAGCTTTGAAGTTTTGATCCTCCTGCCCCCATTCAATGCTGGGATTGCAGGTGTGCACCATCATACTGAGGCTGGAACCTGGGGCTTCCTGCTTACAAGGCAAGCGCTCCACCAATTGAGAGATATCCCTAGCCCTTATCCTTGCCTTTGAGGTGAATATCTAGCTCTTTCTTGTTTTGTAAGTTATAGAATTAAATTTTTTATTCCACCACTGTGACTCGTGGCAGGTTCCAACGGCCTACAGCACTGCTCCCAACAGACTAGTTCTGGGCACACATGCAGTACCCAGTAGACCCATTATCTTGACTAGCAAGGACTAAATGAGGCACAAGAGATGCCTCAGTAAACTTCTGCAGTCTTATCTTAGTGATTTATGTACTTGGAGCAGCCAAGCGCTACTACAATTATGTAAAGTATCATTATCAAGTTGAGTTTTTAAAGAGACTTTATTTCTTTATTTCTTTATTTATTTATTTATTTATATTGTCTTTTTGAAGCAGGGTCTCCCTGTAGCTCCAGCTGTCCTGAAACTCACTATGTAGACCAGGCTGGCCTTGAACTCACAGAGATCCTCCTGGGATAAAAGGCATGTGCTACCACGCCCGGCCCTATTTTTTAAATTTTATTTACTATTTTTATTTTATGTGCATGCGTGTATTTCCTGCATGTAGGTAAGTGTACCCATGTCGTGCAATGCCCGCAGAGGTCAAAAGAGGCAGTCAGAGCCTCTGGGACTGAGTTACAGACAGTTGTTAACTGCCATTGCCATGTGGGTGCTGGGATTCAAACCTGGGTCTTCTGCAAGAACAACCAGTGTTCTTAACCACTGAGCCATCTCTCCAGCTCCCTATTACTTTTATTTTATGTGTATGAGTGTATTGCCTGCCTGTAGGTAGGTGCACCCGTGTCATGCAATACCTGAGGAGGTCAGAAGAGGGCGTCAGATCTTCTGGAACTGGAGTTAAGAAAGGTTGTTCACCACCATGTGGGTGCTGGGACTTGAACCCAGGTCCTCTGTAAGAGCAGCCAGTGCTCTTAACTGCTGAGCCATCTTTCCAGCCCCATATATATGAGTGTTTTGTGTGCATGTGCCTAAGTGTACGTGCAGTACCCACAGAGGTCAAAAGAGGTTGTTGGACCCCCTGGAACTGGTGTTACAGATGGTTGTTAAGGTCCATGTGGGTTCTGGGAACCATCTCTCCAGCCCCAGTTATAGAATTTAAAATGACATATATCTATGAAAGTATCCTGTTAGGCTGGGCGTGGTGGGGCACGCTTTTAATCTCAGCACTCAGGAGGCAGAGGCAGCAGGATCTCTGTGGGTTCAAGGTTAGCCTGGTCTACATAGTTTCAGGACAGCTGGGGCTACAGAGAAACTTTGTCTCCAAAAGACAAAAAAAAAAAAAGCATTCTGTTAGGATTCACCTAACATGAATTGGATTCATTCACATGTTTTACTATGGTGTACTTTTGTAATTTAGTTCTAAATACTTAGTACTTTTGGCTTTTTAAAATTTATTTTTTATTTATGTATATGAGTGTTTGCCTGCATCTATGTATTTGTACCATGTGCATGCCTGGCAGAGACCAGAAGGTGGTGTTGGATTCCCCAGAATTGGAGTTACAGACAGTTCTCTCATGTGAGCTTCCATGTAGGTGCTGGGAACTGAACCTGGGTCCTCTGCAAGAGCAGCCAGTGCTCTTAACTACTGAGCCATCTCTCTTGCCCCTCATTTTGTTTTGTGAGACACTGTTTTACTGTGTCCACTCTCCTGGCTATCCTGGAACTTGTGATCTTCCTGCCTTAGCCTCTCAAGTGCTGGGATAATAGATGTGCACCACCATACTCTTTATACTTTTAATTATGTTTTTTTTGTTTTCTTGCTTGCTTTTGTGTTTTTTGAGGCAGGGTCTCACTCTGTGCCCTAGGCTGGCCTCCTGCTTTTGGCAATCCTGCTGCTTCAGCCTCTTGAATTCAGAGATGGTATATAAGCAGCCATACCTGGCTTTAATTATGTTTTACTCATCTATGAATTAGTTGATATATGTCCTTTAATTTCTCTTGTTCTCTTTGTATCTTTCAGATAGGAGTCTTGTTATTGGTTTCAGATTCATTAACCTTAAAAGACAATTTAGCCAGGCATAATGGCATGCCTTTAATGCCAACTCTTGGGAGGCAGAGGCAGGTAGATTTCTGTGAGTTCGAGGCCAGCAAGTCTACACAGTGAGATCCTGTCTCAGCCCCTCCCCTCCTGCCCAATAAAAGACAATATGTATTATTTTGGTTTTTTTCTATTTGTTGAGACCTTAATAAGGCATAATACACAGGCTATTTTTTCAGATGTTCTGTCGTTTATTATATAATAATGATCTTTTAGTATTTATGAGTGCTCAGTTGGAGCTTAGTTTTCTGTGTGATATGATGCAGCGTTTGCATGTATGTGGATGAGATTGTGTACATGGCATTTGCACATGCCAGTGGGGCCAGAGGTTAACACTGAGCATCTTTGCAGTCAATTTCCACCTATACATTGAAGCAGGGTTTCTCACCTGAACTCCATCTGAGTAAGCTAGCCAACTTGCTCTAGGGACCCCTGTTTCTGTCTCTGCTATGTTGCCTGCCCAGTGTTTGTGGGGTGCTGGGGAGATGAACTCTGGTCCTCTCACTTGCGTAGCAAGTACTTTACCCACTGAGCCACTCACTCCTCAGCCACAGATCCTAGCTTTTAGTCAAATGTTTGTAAATATTTTTTACAGGTTTTGTGGTATGGTTGTGTGTGTGTGTGTGTGTGTGTGTCTTTTGTGTGCACATGTGAAAGCCAGAGCAGGACATCTGGTGTCTTTTTCTATTGTCCTCATCCTTCTGCCTTGAGACAGGGTCTCTCACTGAACTTGAAGTTTGCATTTGGGCTAGGTTTCCTGGCCAGCAAGCTCTGGGCATACACCTGTCTCTACCCTGTCACCCCCTAACTCTAGAATTACAGTAATGTGCAGCTTTTTATGTAGGTGCCGGGGATTCAAACTCAGGTCCTCTGGCTTGCAGAGCAAGCACTCTTTCCCACTGAGCCATCTCCCCAGCCCCTTTTGCAAGTATCAATGCTGTATTGAGATACGATTTATGCACCACACAGCTTATTTATTTATTTATTTATTTATTTTTGGTCTTTATTTTTTATTTTATATATATGAGTGTTTTGCCTGCAAGTATGTAAGTGTACCTGTTTTGTGCAATGCCTGTAGAGGCCAGAAGAGGATGTCCCTTGCAACTGGAGTTATGGGCAGCTGTTAGCTACCAGGTGGGTGCTAGGAACTGAACCCAGGTCCTCAGCAAGAGCAGCCAGTGCTCTTAACTGCCGAACCATCTCTTCAGCCCCACTAACCCACTTAAAGTTTACCAGTTCAGTTGGGCATGGTGGCTCCTGTCTGTAATGTCAACTCTTGGGATGCTGAGACAAGAGGATTGCTGCAAGTTTCAGACCAGCCTAGGCTACAGAGTGAGTTCCAGGTCAGTCTGATCTACATTGTAAGTTCCAGGCAAGCCTGAGCTACAGTATGAGAGTTCCAGGCCAGCCTAAACTACATAGTGAGTTCCAGATCAGCCTAGGCTACAAAGTGAGTTTCAGGCCAGCCTAGGCTGCAGAATGACAATGCCTCAAAAACGTAAATAAACTTAAAATAAAGGTACCAGTTCAGTGTTTTTAGTCAACTTGAGGGTTGTGCTGCCAGCAGTATAATCTCATTTTGGAACATTTTTGTTCTCCCAAAAGCTTGGTTTGTATTATTAAGCAGTCCTCCCTCTCTCCTAGCTTACTCTTTTTAAAATGTCCCACAGCTGGAGGTGAGCCTGGTGTTGCAGGCCTGTCATTGCAACTGCTCAGGAGACTAAGACAGGAGGATTGTGAGTTTAATGGTTTTCTGGGCTACATATTGAGTTTAAAGACAGCCTGTGTACCCTGTCTCAAAATAAAAATACAAAGAGGGGGCTGGAGAGATGGCTTAGCAGTTAAGAGTACTGGCTGCTTTTGAAGAGGACTTGGGTTCAGTTCCCAGCACCCACAGGGTGGCTGACAACTATCTGTAATTCCAGTTCCAGGAGCTCTCACACCCTTTTCTGACCTCCATGGGCATTGCATGACATGGGTACACATACATACAGGCAAAAAAACTCATAAAGTAAAAATAATAAGCCGGGCGTGGTGGTGCATGCTTTTAATCCCAGAGGCAGGCAGATCTCTGTGAGTTCAAGGCCACCCTGGTCTACATAGTGAGTTCCAGGACAGCTGGGGCTACAGGGAGACCCTGTCTCAGAAAGACCAAAAAATAAGTAAATAAATAAATAATAATAATAAGATGTTTTTGAAGGATTTACATGAATGGTCAGGGGTTGATTCTGGAGCCTTGAGCATGCCAGGCAAGTATTATACTGCTGAGCCACGCCCCCAGCCCCTCACTGCTGAACTCTAGGCAAGTGCTCTATCTCTGAGCCTGACTCCCAGCCTTCAGTTGAGCATTCTAGGCAAGTGCTGTACGACAGGGCCACAGCCCCCAGCTCTTTATTGACTTTTGCCCTTGTGTTACTTATCCATATCTTAAGAGCTGCTGACTCCTTGGCTGTCTTGGTTTTCCTCCTTAATGAAGTCAAGCTAGGAGCCACTTTGTTTCAAATACTTTTACGCCTTGGAGTGCTCAATCTACACCCTGAGGGAGAAGAGTGTGGCAGCCACCTCTAGAGAGCCTCCCCTGGTCACCATCCTCTTGGCCTGTGTCTGTCTCCACAGAGTCCAGCCTTCAACTTCTGCAAGACCACCCCTGCCTGGTGGAGCTGCTGTCCCACGTGCTGAAGCCACAGGATGTCAGCCCCAGGGTGCTGTCCTTTGCCCTGCGCCTGGCAGGGGCCTTTGCAGCCCAGGAGGACTGCTTCCAGTACCTCCAGGTGAGCCTGGGTCTCCCATGTTTGTCCTCTGAGGGGTGGGCATCTTTCCCCTTTGGATTGGAGCCATATCGATGCCTGGTTCTCAGAGGCTTGTCTGGAAAATGCAGCAAGATTTTCATCCCCTAGTGTCACCCCCTTTTTGAAACATTCTCCAGGGATGGTACTGGCACTCAGGAGGGAATTATTTTGGAATTGAGCTCAACTGGCTTGTAGCTCTTACCTGCTGTGTGATCCTTGCTAAGTTCTTGAGCTTCTATTTTTTTTTCCTGGGGCTGGGTAGGGACCCCAGGAGGCTGCAGATGCTGTGATAGAGTGTTTCTATCATGAAATGTGTGGATGAATGAACAGAGCAGGCCTGTGTGTGATGCTATTCCCCTCTACCTGCCCAGCCTTGTCCAGTCCAGGGCAGTAGCTTCCCTGGCTCTATGGAGCCCTGACATCCTGTGAAGGGCTATATCTGCCCTGTCCTCTGGGTGAAGAGCCCCAGGGATGCTGTGCTGTGGTGGACCCCACTGCAGAAAGGGGAGTAGTGCAGATAACATCCCCTAGTACTTTAGGCCACCATTCATGGGACTTCCCACTGGAAGTCCAGCCAGGTTCCATCTTACTGTGTGACTGGTTTTCCAGAATGTTTAGGGCACCTTGACTTCTATGAAGTGAGTATGAGGCAAGGCTCTGCTGCAGCCTCACAGGTCATCTGCAGCTATTCACATGGACCACTCAAGTGTGGGGGCACTTTTGTAGTCTACGTCCATTCACATGGAGCACTCTAGAGTTTGTAGAGTCACCTCTGTAGTCCATGTCCATACATACTGACATGCTAGAGTTGGTAGGGTCATCTGTGATTCATAGTGATTCACACAAAGCACTCTAGAGTGTGTAGGATCACCTGTAGTCCATGTTCATTTACATGAAGAACTCTATTGTATGGTCACTTCTGTGTCTGTGGAGGAGCCCTGGACACTGACTGGCCAGTAGTCTTCACTTTCTTTGCTAAGTACAAAGACAGTGAGGGGTTGACCTAAGGCTCTTACAGAACCAGGGGGACTCACTCCATACCTAGACATGCTAGCTGTTTCCAGTATGTTCCCCGCTCTTTTCCTGAACATGAATTTTTCGTCACAACGTTTTATTTATGTTTTGGGTAGTACTGGGGATTGGAACCTAGGCCTTCACACAGTTAGGCAGCCCTCTGTACCCTTCCTCCTGTCCCTTGGTAGTGGTCTGGTGGCCCTGAGGCCTCTTGACCAGCTGTTCCCCACCAGCCAGTGTCTGGGCAGGGGTCATACAGACAGTCTGCTTCAGGCAGGGAACTGAGCTGCACCCCATGACCCTGAGCCATAGCCCACAAAGGGAAATACTTTGAGGAACCAGCAAACCCCCTCAGGTCAGCTCAGAGTGGATGCCTCAGCCCTGATGCAGTGGGTCTGGGCACAAACATGGCTGCTCAGTGGCAAAGTGGGCAATGCACTAGTGTTGTGTTTAGAGAAAGGAGCAGAAGGGAACAGCAAGCAGGGCCCTGAGATGCTGTCAAGGAGGCAAAACCCCCACTCCCACCCCCTGAAGTCTGTGAAGCATGAAGGCATTCCTGCCTTTTCTGCAGTTGGGACTATCCAGGCTCAGGCATTGATGAGGGTCAGGATCAGAGGCGCATGGGGCTTGTGCTAATGTGGGCAGTAAGACAGTGTGTGATGGTACTGAAGGAAAAGTCCTACAGAGAGTCGTTCAGCAGGGACCTGGGGGTCAGCCTGAGCTGGAAAATGGGGAAGGCCATACTAGGAGGCAGCCTCACTAACCTGATGTGCAGGAGCATCTGAGAAAGTCAGGGTAGGGATCTCTGAAAGGGCAGGCTGGCTGTAGTCTAGGAGTTTAGGGGACTGGAGAGAGGTGTGCAGGGTTCTTGAGCCCAGAGGTCGTGGTAAGGGTTATGGAGAGGGGGTGACTCACCAGTCATGGGAATGGTAGACTTTCCTTGAGTTGAAATCTGTTCTTCCTTGGGATGGGGCTGAAGCTCAGTTAGTAGTGTTTTGCCTACCATGGGCAAAGCTCTGGGGTCTATCCTGAGTACCACATAAACCAGATGTGATGGTACACACCTGTGATCCAAGCACCTGGAGGTGGAAGCAGGAGGATCAGAACTCAAAGTTACCCTAACTACATAGCAGGTTTCATTCATTCATTCATTCATTCATTCATTCATTTTTGGTCTTTTTGAGACGGTCTCCCTGTAGCCCCTGGAACTAGCCAGGAACTCACTGTGTAGATCAGGCTGGCCTTGAACTTAGAGATCCACCTGCCTCTGCCTTCTGAGCGCTGGGATTACAGGCATGTGCCACCACTCCCGGCTAGCAAGTTCCATTTTGAGGCCAGCCTGGGTGAGAGACTGTCTTTAAAAAAAAATAGTTGGCAGGGGGCCGGAGAGATGGCCCAGTAGTTAAGATCTTGTATTGCTCTTGCAGAGGACCGGGGTTCAGTTCCCAGCACCACATTGGACAGTTCAGAACAGTCAATAACTCCAGCTCTAGGGGATCTGACACCCTCCTCTGGCTTTCTGTACTCATGAGCACACACACTGAGACACACACATACACACATAGTTTAAAAAGTTAAAAACCAAACCTTAAAAAAGGAAGGAAGGAAACCAGTTCTACCTCCCTCTGAGCTCTAGTCCCTGTCCCCAAGGGCAGATTGAACCATGCTGGAGCCCCAGAAACAGCCTTGTGGCTATTTGGTGCCTCCACCAATCCTGTTTGTTTCTGTGGGGTTTTTTCCTTGTTTGTTTTTGTTTTTGAGACAGGATCTCACAGGGTCATAGCCCTGGCTACCTGGAATTCACTATATAGACCAGGCTGACCTCAAATTCAGAGCTCCATCTGCCTCTACTTCCCAAGGATGGGGATTAAAGGCATGTACTACCACATCTCCCCACTCCAGTACTGAAAAGCAGAAAATTTTTTTCCCGATTCCCTGTACCCCTGAATCTCTGCATCTCTGTATCTTTCTTTGCTTCTCAGCAGGGGGACTTGTTGCTAGGACTCTTTGGGGAGGCAGGTGCCCTTGGTTGGTCAGCATGGAGTATACCCAGTGTGCGCAGTGGCTGGATCCAGGGTCTTTGTGCCCTGGCACATCACCCCAGTGCTTTGCACTTCCTGGCCGACAGTGGTGAGTAGACTGTGTTCTGCCTCATTTCACCTGCAGGGCCTCCCAACCTTATGTGTCTCTGTGCTGTGGGACCCTAGGGGAGCCCCTGGCACCTCTGAGCCTAGTTTTCTGCTGGGGAAGTGGTGATGTTGGTCTAGTGTTGACCCTGTGAGCATACATGGTAATCGTAGGAATACTGTCTTTGATGCCTGGGTGAGTCTGTGGAGCTGGGGTGGCTCCCTAAATTGCATGCAGATAAGTAGTCTCCAGTTGGTCTTTGAAATGAATTAGGACCAATCAGATGCTGTGTTGGGTTTAAAGCCAGCATGCTGGGAGGTCATCCCTTAGGCTCTTGGGTTCCGGTTGGGTTTGCTTGTGAGCAGAGGGGAGTTTGGGCTTTTTCTCTGAGGCTTGGAAGGGTGTGACTGAAGGTGTGCTCTGCCCTTCTCTTCACTTAGGCTGACTCCTTTCACTGCCCCCTCCAGGTGCAGTGGATACGGTTTTCTCCCTGCAGGGAGACCCAAGCCTGTTTGTGGCCTCAGCAGCCAGCCAGCTCCTGGTATACATCCTGGCTCTGTCCATGCAAGGCAGGGATGCAGGGTCCCCCATCCCAGAGGTTGCTGCCTGGCCTGTCTGTGCCCAGAAGATTGTGAGCCACGTGCAGGAATCCTTACATTCCACAGCTGCCCCACAGGTCACCCAGGCTTTGAACGTGCTGACCACTACATTCGGGCGCTGCCGCAGCCCCTGGATGGAAGTCCTCTGGGGGCAGCTGAGTCCCCTTGTGGCCAGCCTGCTCAAGAGAGACCCCATTCCAGCTGCACACTCACTTGTGGACCTTCTCCTCAGCGTGGCCCGGTTAGGTTCCTGGGATGCAGCAGGCTGGAGGGGCTGGGAGTGAGCGTTAGTTTTCTGTGAAGTCTCAGAGTACTACTGACTTGTTGGGAGGACCCTGACACCTCACCCCAGGGGACAGCAAGTCTGCAGGACTAGGCCTATTTGCAGCTGTCCTATCGAGGCACTAATGGAGGAGTGCTTTTCTTTCTGCAGGTCTCCTGTGTTAAGTTCTGCAGCCTGTGGCCCGTGGGAGATTCTGGCCCAGACTCTGCACCGCCTGAGCCCCACACAAGCTGGTCCTCTGGCCCTGGGGACCCTGAAACTCCAACGCTGGTATGATTGGAGTTGTTAGGTGCCAAGATTGTGGCACTAGTGATTTGGGAACTTTGGAAGCTGGGAAGCCAGGTAGGAGAACAGCCAGATAGGTGGGCTGGGCAAGTATTAAAGCAGGGCTGCTCTTCCTCCCTCCTTCATTTCTTCTTCCCTTCCTTCCTTAGTACTTGGCATGAAATCCAGGACCTCACACATGCTAGGCAGGCACTCTACCACTGTGCCACACCCTCAGCCTCCTTGTCCTCGTCCTCCTTCTCCTCTTTTGAGATAGGATCTCACTGTCTATCTCTGGCTGGCCTGGAATTCAGAGCTACTCCTGCCTCTGCCTCTGCCTCCTGAGTGCTAGGATTAAAGGTGTGTACCACCATGTCTTTTTCTTATTCACTAAGTTGCCAAGATTTCCTTGAACTCACTCTAGGCTAGGCTGGCCTTGAACATTACTTCTGCTGCCTCTGTCTCCAAGTAGCTGGGATTATAGGCATGTACCACCATACTCAGCAGGGGACAGAATAATTTCAAACAAAAGCTTTAGTATACCCCCAGAGCCAAAACTGACTCTGAGCTTCTCTGCTTAGGGACCTATCTGTAGCTGTCTTCTGATGACCTATATTGTGGTTGGGCCCCATGGTATACACTCCACAGGGTGTGTAGGGATTTGGACTGCAGAGCTTGGGGTTGGAGGAAGGAAGGATACTGAGGGCTTGGGTGGACTCAGGACTCCAGAGTGGTCCACGTATAGAATATAAGAAAGGACATCTCAGGTACTGAGTACACAATGAGCCCCTCTGAGCACAGTGGCAGGAACCTGGAGACTCTTGTCACCCTGATCTTGCAGTGTGCCTGGCCCTTCCAGAGCTCCTGAAGCCCAGTGACTGTTCCTGAGGACATCAGGGTCGTGCCCACAGGCCTTGGTTAGGCTTCTTCCCATCTGTGACAGGCAGCTTGCGGAGCAGTTATTTCAGGGATGTCTGCACCCAGCTTTTGCTGAGCCATCCCAGACTTGCTGGGGGTGTTACCCTCACCATGTCCTGTGTCCCCCCCAGTCCACAGGAGCTGAGGACCCAGGCCTTCGGCATCCTTCTCCAGCCCCTGGCCTGCATCCTGAAAGCTACTGCTCAGGCCCCTGGACCTCCAGGTATGCAGAGGGTGGCCCTGGGATAATGAAGTGCTGTGAATAGCCCCAGCCCTGGCTCCTCTGAGACCATGCCTTTAAGAGTACAAGGGGACTGGAGAGAGAGCTCAGGGTTAAGAGCACTGGCTGTTCACTCCCAGCACCCACCTGGCAACTAAGAACTGTCCTTAACTCCAGTTCCAGGGGCCTCCTAGGGCATTGCATGCGGGTAAAACACTCATCCACATAAAAGAGTGCATGTGGTCAGCTGTGGGCAGATGGTATCCCTGGCCAACCCTAACCCTGATGTGAGCCCTGGCCCCTGCTTTGGTGGTGACTTTTACAGGGAAATCATATCATTTGGCCTCAGGCTTGCTGGATGGGACTGCAGGTGGCTCGATGACAGTGGACACACTCCTGTCATCTAAGTCAGCCTGTGTGGGGCTCCTGTGCCAGACCCTGGCTCATCTGGAGGAGTTGCAGACGCTGGTAGGTGTGGCCCTGGCCTGTGTCCATCAGACCACATGACCCAGGGCCTCATTGACCCTTTCTCCTCCCTGCAGCCCCAGTGTCCCTCACCCTGGCCCCAGGAACCCCTTCTGGATGCTGCAGTGATCATACTGCGCCTCTGTGATGGCTCGGCAGACCCCAGTTCCAGTGGGGCTGGCCGGCTCTGTGGGACCCTGGCAGGCTGCATTCGAGTCCAGCGAGCAGCCCTTGACTTCTTGGGGACACTGTCTCAGGGGATGAGTGAGTGACATTATGTCTTTCCCTGAGTTTTGCTTTCTCTTTGTTTCTTCTGGGGGCCCAGAGGGGCCTCATGCAGACTTGTGCCCAGACATCCTCCTTCCCCTGCTTCCTGAAGCTTGGAACTCACATTCCCTGCTGGGTGGCGGGCCCTGGGCTGAGGCTGGACTGACTCTTCTGTGCATATCTGTCTCAGGCCCCCAGGAGTCGATGCTGCAGGTATTCGCAATCCTCTTGAAGAACCTCGAGAGCCCAGAGTCCAGCCCCACGGTATCAGGAACAGATTCTGGGAGGCACGGGCAGCCAGCCGCCGGGGCCCTTCTTCGATGCAGGCCTCTTCCAAAAGAGCCTTAATATGGTGCCACAGAGCCTCTGCTCAGAGTGACCCTTTCCATCCAACCAGGCATAGTAGTACATGCCTGTCATCTTAGCACAGATGAGGTGGAGACTGGGGATCACGAGTTCAAAGCCAGTCTGTGCAACAGAGAGACCTTGACAAAAGAAAACAAAACTTTATTTATTTAATTTTTATTTTTATTTTGTTTTTTTCCAGACAGGGTTTCCCTGTAACCTCCACTGGCCTGGAACTCACTATGGAGACCAGGCTAACCTCGAACTCACAGAGATTCTCCTGTCTCTGCCTCCTAAGTGCTGGGATTAAAGGCATGCACCACCATGCCTGGCTTTAACAAAACTTTTTTAGGTATATGAGTATTTTGCCTGCATATATGTAAGTGCACCATGTGTGTGCAGTGCCCTCAAATGTCAGAAGATGGTGTTGGGTCCCCTAGAACTGGAATTTCAGATAGTTGTGAACTGCAATGTGGGTTCTGGGAACTAAAACCAGGTTCTCTGCAAGAGTAACCAATTCTGTTATTCACTGAGCCATCTCTCTAGATGCAGAAAACAAAATGTTTGAGGGCAAGGACTACATGAGGTCTGGGGTCCACAAGGGTCTGGAGGTCCGTGCTGATGAGACTTGCATTTAAGAGGGCTTCCAAAGCCATTGGTGATCTGAGGGTGGAGGATATGATGACCCAGTGTTCATACAAGGAATTCTTTTTTTTGTTGGGCTTAATTTTTTTACTTTTTGTGGTTTGCTTTTGAGACTGGGTCTCCCTGTAGCCCCAGCTGGCCTGGAACTTGCTAAATAGACCAGGCAGGCTACTTTCTCACAGAGGTCTGCCTGCCTCTGCCTTCCAAGTGCTGAGATTAAAGGTATGTGCCACCACGTCCAGCTTGGTTTTGTTTTTTGAGACTGGGTGTCGCTATGTCACCCAGGTTTCAGGACAGTGCCATGTCCTGCCACCCTAGGCAGATCTCCTACTGAGGATATGCCTGCCTCTTTGTCTCAATGTCTATGAGGCCAATCTGCACTGGCCTGTGCTGTTGCCTGCTCCTCTGCCCCCAACCCCACCCCCGGCTGGGGCAGCACAGGTGCAGTAGACAGGGACAGGGATGGCCTGCTTCTGCCCTACAACCTGCCCTGCCCACTCTAGGTCCTGAAGAAGGCCTTCCAAGCCACGCTTAGATGGCTTCAGAGCTCAGTCAAGACCTCAGGCTGCTCTGACCTCAGCCCGGATGCCTTGCTGTTCCTTGGAGGTAACCCTGGACCCTTGCAGACCTGCACCAGGCTAGACGGAAGGCTAGACACCACTGGGGCTGGGCAGGGTGGCCCTGAAGGCAGGCCAAATGTGACCCCAGAGCCCACTGACCACCTCTTCCTGGTGTAGAGCTGTTCCCAGTACTGCAGAAGCGCCTATGTAGCCCCTGCTGGGAGGTGAGAGACTCGGCCCTAGAGTTCCTGACACATCTGAGCCAACACTGGGGAGGTGAGTGCCCCACAGGCAGGAGTGTGCATGTATCCTACTGGTTCTGGGGTTCCCAGACCACATAAGTGGCCATTGATCACAACTTTGACCATTTGACTCCTCCCTTCCCCCCCTCCAGGGCAGGCTGACTTCAGAGAAGAACTACAATCTTCAGAGGTGCCTATGCTTGCCTGCCAGCTCCTCCAAGACCCTGAGAGTTACGTCCGAGCAAGTGCAGTGGCTGCCACTGGGCAGCTCTTTAGTCGGGGCCTACAGGCCACTCCCACCAGCTCCGAGAACCTACAGGCTCAGCAGGTAGGAGCCAACCATTTGTAATTGTGTGCCTAGTGGGTGGGTGACCGGGTCTGTAGCAACTGCTTCTGAGGACAGTGCTGGCCAGGGAATTACGGACAGCAGGGCCCAGTGCCTGCATTCTTCCTAGCACCCCATCTTAGACCCTGTCACCCCATTTGGCTGATAAGCAAGGGCAGGGCTGAAGGGCAGTGTGTGCAGAACCTCATGGAAAGGGGTCAGAGAAGCACGTGGCCCAAGCCAAGGTCCTATCCCAGGTCTCCTATGTCCTACCTTTCCAGACTCAACTGTATTAGTTACTTTTATAGTGGCTGCTCCAAAATAGCAATTTAAGGGTGGAGAGGCTCACATTGGCTCACAGAAGGTGCAGTCCATGGTGGTGGGAAGGCATGGCAGCAGGAGCGTGAAGCAGCTGCTCACGTGACATCCACAGTCAGGAAGCAGAGAGAGATTAATGCTGGTGCTCAGCTCACCTTCTCCTTTTTATTCATTCAGGACCCCAACCCATGGATGGTGCTGCCCACATTCAGGGTGGGTCTGCCCTCCTCAGCCCAGGCTAGAACTCCCTCACAGACATGCCTACAGGTGTATTTCCTAGGTAATTCTAGATCTTGTCAAGTTGGCAGTAACCATCACATCAAGCTTTTCTGGAATTCTCTGTCCCACAGGGTCTGCTTATGGACCTCATGTACATCCTGTCCACGGACTCAGAGGGCTTCCCACGGAGGGCTGTCCTACAGGTTTTCACCCAGTGGCTGAGGGATGGCCATGCTGATGTGGCCCGGGACACCGAGTGGTTTGTGACCACTGTGCTCCAGGCAGTGAGCCGAGATCTAGACTGGGAGGTCCGAGTACAGGGCCTGGAGCTGGTGCAGGTATTCCTCACCCAGACACTGGGGCGGTTCAGACCCCGCTGTCCCTATGCAGTGACTCTGCCAGAGGCCACCTCACCTACCCCACACCCTGAGTTCTTGCGGACTCTATGCCGTCTGCCACTCTTTGAGTTTGTCTTTCGTGCCTTATTCGACTGTGATCGACCTGTGGCCCAAAAGGCCTGTGATCTCCTCCTCTTTCTGAGGGATGAGACAGCTCCCTCTAGTGGCCCCCAGGAGACCAGGGATGGCCCCAACTCAGCCTCAGTGGAGGTTGCCCTGCAAAGATGGCAGGAGGGAGAGCAGGGCCAGCCCTTGGGGGACTTGGAGCCTGAGGCCATGTTGGCCCTCCTGAGATCCCTAGACCTGGAGGGCTTGCAGGGCAAGCTGGCCAAGAGCAGCGACCATATAGAGAAGAGCCCCCAGTCCCTCCTGCAGGACATGCTGGCCACAGTGGGCATGCTGGAGGAGAATGAAGCTGACTGCTACTGAGGCCGTACCCTGTCCCAGCCCTTGCCTTCAGGAGGACTCCATCCCAGGCCAGTTGCTCAAGAGACCCTCCAGAGAGTGGATTAAAAAAATGTCCCATGTTTTGCCAGGCATGATAGGGCACATCTTCAATCCCAGCACTTGGGAGGCAGTGGCAGGCTGATCTCCATGAGATTGAGGCTAGCCTGGTCTACATAGTGAGTTCCAGGTCCGCTGGGGCTACAGGGAGACCCTGTCTCAACAAAACCAAAAAAGAAAAACTTAAAACCAAAAAAAAAAAAATCCTATATTTTATGCTGGACAAGATAGCCTATAATCCCAGTTTAAAGACCAGACTGTATAGAGACCCTATCTCAAAACACTTAAGAAATCAGATAAGAAATTCTACCGTGTGTGTGTGTAGGTGCATATATATGCACATGCAGGCCAGAGGTTAACCTCAGAGCCATCTACCTTTTTGAGACAGTTTCTCCCTGGGGCTTGGTGCTCTCTGAATTAAGCTACACTAGCTGGCCAGTGAACTCCAGAAATCCTCCTGCCTCCACCCCCACCCCCCAGCACTGGGATTACAAGAATTTGTCACCATGCATGGTTTTTAAGGATTTATTTTTAAGTGTGTGTGTATGTGTGTGTGTATGCACGCACGCAGTGCTCATGAAGGCCAGAAGAGGGTGTCAGATCCTCTGGAGCTTGAATTATAGGCAGTTGTTAGCCACCCAATGTGGGGGTTGGGAATTGGTCTCAGGTTCTCTGCAAGAGCAGCACATGCCCTTAACTGCTAAGCCATCTTCCCAGCCCCATGCCTGGTTCTTTCTGTGGGTACTAGGGTTTGAACTCAGGTCTTCATGGCAAACACTAACTGAACTCTTGCTAGCTCCCGCAAAATCTATGTTTAGGTTTTAGAGAAGTAGCTTGTTCTCTTCCCAGAACAAACAGCACTGAAGTCTATCATTTCAAGTTGGTTTTGCACATGGCTTAGTACAAGCACCCACTGCCACTCTTTTACATGTCACTTCAGCCCTCCCTGCCTCATCTGTCTACCAAGGAGACCTGTTCCCTGTGTGAGATCTGGGGAGGAGTAGCTGACCCTCATGAGGGAGGGTATGTTTCCAGGCTCTTCCATCCCCTCGTTGGGTGTGTTTTTATACCACGTTATTGTGATTTCTTTGTATTTGTTTTGTTTTGAGACATGGTCTCATATAGCCCAGGTTAGCCTCAAACTTGCAGTGGGGCTGAGGATGGCCTTGAAGTTTTGGTCTTCCTGACTCCACCCTCTGAAGATTAGGATAACAGGTTTGCACTTCCCCGCCTGGTTTATATGGTCCTGGAGATGGAAACCAGGGCTTTGTGCATGTCGGGAAATCCTCTATTAACTACATCCCCAACCCATTAACTGAACTCTGCCCCCTCCCATTTTTTAAGGCAGGATCTCAATTTTTAGCTCAGTCTAGCCTAGAACTCAGTATTTGGCCAAGCTAGCCTCAAATTCAAGGCAGTGTTTCTGCCTCAGCCTCTGAAATGCTGAGATTACACCACCATACCCAGTCAATGTGGTACTGGGGATTGAACCCAGGACTTCATGCATGTCAGGCAAGCACTGTATCCACTGAGCCACCTCCCCAGGCCTTGTCTAGCTTTGTAGCAGATACCTGGCACTGTGATGTCCTTTGCACTTTAGTTTTTCTTTCTCGGAATTGCTTTGCTATATGGGGACTTTGGGTGTTCCACACAACCTTCAGAATTTTTTTTTCTACTTCTGTGTAAAATATCATTGGGATTTTGGTAGAAATTACCACTGAACTTTGGGTAGTATGGTCATTTTAACATGGTTAATGCTTTCAGCTCTCCAGCCCGGGATATATTCCCGTGTTTTCTTATAACTTTTTCTACTGTTTTGAGACAGAGTCTCTCTCTGTAGCCCCAGCTGGCCTGGAACTCACCATGTAAATAGGCTGGCCTCAGACTCACAGAGATCCACCTGCCTCTGCCTCCCAGGTGCCAGGATTAAAATTGTGCACCACCATGCCTGGCTGTTTCTGCGTTCAGTATCCTTCATCCATGTATTACTTTTTCAGTGTGCAGGGTTGTCATATCTCAAATACTTTATTGGTTTTGATATAATAAATGGGACCATTTTCTTAACCTTTTGCAGATGGTCTTTAGTTTTGCATTGGTTACTTATCACTTTAACAAAATGCCTGACATAAAGAAAGCAAGGTCTGCATTTGCTTAGGGTTTCAGAGGTGTCAGTCCATCGTGGTGGGGAAGGTGTGCTGGAGCAAAGCAGCTCATATAGCTGCCGGGAAGGGAGTGGGGTGAGTCAGTGTGTGCCTGCGCTAGTGAGCTCTCTCCCCACTTTTAAAAAAATTTTTATTTTGCCGGGCACTGGTGCACGCCTGTAGTCCCAGCACTTGGGAGGCAGAGGCAGGCGGATCTCTGTGAGTTCAAGGCCAGCCTGGTCTACATAGTTCTAGGACAGCTGGGGCTACAGGGAGACCCGGCTTCAAAAAGACAAAAAAAATTTATGTGTATGTGTGTATTGCCTGCATGTAGGTAAGTGCACCCATGTCGTACAATGCGTGCAGAAGAGGCTGTTGGATCCCCTGGAACTGGAGTTATGAACAGTTAGCTGCTATGTTGGTGCTGGGTTTTGAACCCTGGTCTTCTACAAGAGCACCGGTGCTCTTAACCACTGAGCTGTCTCTTCAGCCCCTCTCCTTGCTTTTATGCATCCAGGCCCAGCCTATGGGCTGGTGCTGTCCCCATTCAGGGAGTCCTTCTCCCCAGCCAGTCCTCTGGAAACACGCTCACAGGTACACCCAGGGGTGTGCTTTACCTAAGCTAGGTGTTGCTCAACCCAGTTGAGTTTGCAATCATGATTTACCATCAAGTGTGGTGTCCCACACTTGTAATCCCAGTTCTTGGGAAGCTGAGGCAGGAGGATTATAAGCTTAAACCCAGTCTGGTCTACATAGAAATTTTGAGGCCAGACGCCAGCCAGGGCTACGTAGTGAGACCCTATTTCAAAAAAACCAAAAAAGTCAAAAAGAATTTTAAAAGCCTTTGTCATAACTGGCTTTTTTTGTTTTGTTTTTTTTAAGAAAAAAACAAACTGTCTCATGTAATCCAAACTGGCCTCCAATTCACTGAGTAGCCAAGGATGACCTTGAACTTCAGATCTGTCTGCCTCTGAATCCCAAATGCTGGCATTACAGCCATGCACTATGACACAGAATGTGTAGAGCTGGGAGTCAGGATGCTAAGCAAGCGCTCTACCAACTGAGCCACATCCCCAACCTGTTGGCAATGATGTTTTTGAACATGACATCAAAAGTGAAAACCAATAAAGCCCACCAGTGGCATTTGCACAGCTCAAGACGGAAGCAACAGAATGAAGGGCAGCCTGGGGCACTGGAGAAGGTTCCCAAGTCAGAAACCTGAGAAGAGCCTCATGCCCAAGTAGGTAGGAGCTCTTGAGAGTAAGTAACAACAAAATCAGATAACCTGGTTCAAAGTGGTCAGTCAGGCATGGTGATGATCGACCACCTGTCATCTGGCATGCAGGAGGCTAAGAATCTTGAGTTCAAGGCCAGAGTGAACTATGTAGCAAGATTCTATCTCAACAAAACCAATAAAGAACTAAAGTAGGCTCTTTTTTCCTCCAAAGAAGTTACATAAATGTCAAAAGGTGTATCAGTTTTCTTGTTTACTATGATAAAATGCCTGACAAAAGCAACTTAAGGGGCTGCCAAGATGGCTAGGTGGGTAAAGGCATGTCTATGGAAGACTGGCTGCCTGAGTTCAATTCCCAGAGCCAGCCCATGTAAAGGTGGAAAGAGAACAAACACTACTGTAAAGATGTCCTCTGACCTCATACATACACCATGGCACAGTCACCCACATACACATCATGCACACACAATAATTTTTAGAAAAAAACAATTGTGGGCTGGAGAAAGAGCCCAGCAGTTAAGAGCACTGACTGCTCTTGCAGAGGACCCAGGTTCAGTTCTCAGCACCTACATGATGACTAACAACTGTCCTTAACTCCAGTTCCAGGGGATCTGATGCCATCTTCTGACCTCAATGGGTATTGCATGACATGGTGCACTTACATACCTGCAGGAAATATACTCATACACTATTAGGGTTCTCCAAAGAAACAGAACTGGTAGAATGAATATATATGTATAGAGATTTATCAGCTTAGCTCACAGGATAGAGTCAAACAATGGCTGCACCACACTGGAGAGGCTGAAAATCCGTAGTTGCTCAGTCCACAAGGCTGGATGTCTCAGTAGTCCCAATCTGGTGCTGAAGGTCTGATGAATTCCAAATTATCAGCTAGTCTTCAGTCTACAGCAGCAAGACGAACTCACCAGTGAGAGAGAAGGCAAGCAGCAAGAAGCCAGGTGTTCTCTGCCATGGCCTTTTATACAGGCTGCCATCAGAAGGTAACACCCACATTTAGGGTGTATCTTCCAGCTTCAGATGATCCAATCAAGAAGATCTCTCTCATCTCAGTTAATCCCAGATCCAGTTGAGTTGACACGCAGGATTAGCCATCACATACACATAAAATAAAAATAATAAGAAAAATCATTTGTGTTGGATGGCCAGCCTTTTTAAAAGATTTACTTTTTAAATGCATATTAGTGTTTTGCCTACATGTATGTATGTGCACATGTTTGTGGTTGATGTCCATAGAGGCCAGAAGAGAGTGTCTGATCCCCTTGAACTGGAGTTAAAGATGGTTGTTTGCCATGTGAGTGCTAAGAGCTGAACCTGGGTCCTCTGTCAGAGCAGCCAGTGTTGTTATCTGCTGAGGTGTATGTGTATATACATACACCTTGCTGGCCTTGAACTCACAGAGATCTGCCCACTGAGTAAAAAAATATATATAATATTTTATGCATATGAATGTTTTGCCTGCATGTGTGTAAGTGCATCCATGTCATGCAGAGCCCATGGAGGTCAGAAGAGGGCATCAGATCTCCTGGATTTGGAGTTAGAGACAGTTGCTAGCCACCCTGTGGGTGTGGGTGCTGGTCCTTAAGGGAGGGAGGTCTGTTTTGGTCCACAGTTTGAAGGGGGTACATTATGGCAGGGAGGACCTGCAGTGGATGGATCCATATGTAGGATCATGTAGCCCTCAGTGACACTGCACTCACAGGAACCATAGAGCAGACAGGAAGTGTACCCCAACTATCAAATCATAAGGCTGGTCCTCACTGATTGACTTCCTCCAG